GCTGCAGCAGTGAATGTTTCTTAATATCACTCTGAGATCTTCATCTTTAATAACCAATTTTTCTTTCGGTTCTTTGAAGCAGAGGTAGAGGACTGTGATTAAAAGCTCTATGTCCACTTGACATCTCACATTTTCAGCAGCTTCTACCTGCTGTTTCGCTCGGAGTGAGGATATACTCCAAGCACAGTGACATCTGGTTGTCTCCCTCCTCTGTTCAGAAGGGGTGGTGACTCCGTTGCTGATTGCTATTCATCGTTCTTCAGCAGCCATTGATCTTCTGCTACCCCCCCCCTCCTCCCACTCCACCCGGGCTCCCAATTAGCAGATGAGCAGATTCTAATCATCCACATATCAGAGCCGGCATCAGTCCTCTAATAGACTCCGCGACTCTTCGTGACTTGAGTGATGACCGAGCCGTTACAATATTCGATTATGGAAGCACATGCTGGGCAATTGGAGCAGTTTCAAAAGGACTTCGCCACATTCTCCAACTCACCTCCTTTCTCATCCGGCCAACGGCAGAGTCAAATCAATTGAGGTACAATTTCTAAGCGTCATACTTGCCAAATCTATGTTGCTCTTTTACTTAACTCTGCTTGTCTTTCATGACGATCACACAAGAATCACTTCTAGCAAGCCGATTAGATTTTCTGCCGCCATGGCTTTCTACATCATTAATTAATTTTTTGATCCCGCCCCTTCCTTCCCAGTCTCAGCAGTACCTCCAAGTGATTTTCTCAACTGCACATGGCCCCCTGTCCATCAGTCGGGATGTTCCTCTGACTAGTTTCGCCACAGTCCAAAGCCATCTACTCAGCATTCGTTGTCCCTCTGCTATTCTGCATTTGTTATTATCTGCAATCGTCGCTTTGCATGTCAGTCGGCCATCAAACCGCCCTTCTTGTGATCTGTCGATCTGATCTCGTAGTGAGTACATCATTTGGCATTATACTGACTGATTTGAGTCCGGTAGAATTCGTTTGCGGACCCTAAACTTACAGACCTAATTGCATGTTAATCTTGTGACACTCTGTTATAGAGAAAATATCAGAAATACCAGTAGACGTCTCAAATTTTTATCATAGTCCTGTTTGAGTTGATGATACAAATTTAGGACTCAGCCCTTTGCTTTGTGCGATCAAACTTCATGGTGTCATAGAAGAAGAAACAGGGTGTTTTGTTGACAACGTGCCGATTATTTGCTATCTCCTTCAGCGTGGTGCAAACCCACTGTATCAGGTATTTATAGCACTTCATTCTTCAAGAGTTTGAAAAACTTTTTTAGGACGAAATTACAGGCAAAAGCATGATTCATTACTGCGTGGAAAAAGCGGATTATACGCTGATTGAGGTATTTTCTGAATTCAGCCAGATTTGCAATAATAAAACACCATATAAGGCAATAATCATTGTCACTCAAATGATATTATCATTCTTCATAGTCCCTTGTTTTTTCTACGTATGCGCAATTTATGACATGCCACATGAAAATGAAATTTTCAGTCACAT